ACACGAGCGAATCGTACAAGTTGAGATATATAAACACCATCAGATGGTGACAAGGGAACGTCACCATCTAAAAATGGATAATTAACGATAGGAAATGAAAAATCATCTCTTTTATCATAAATTTTTGTATTAAGCTTCCCGTTAATGATATAGATATCAAGATCGAGGAAAGGATAGTGGTCATTGTTAGTTTTAGCTTTATTTAAAGTTAGTTCAACAGGATAAATGTCTTTAGTATACATACTGAAGTCGTCATTATGAGAGCCAATATATCATATCATATGTTTTTTTGAAGAAAAAAAAAAAACAAAAAAAACACAAAAAATAAAAATAATAAAAAAAAAGGATTATGTACCCTTTTGTTAATAAAATGGTAAACATATGGAAATTGAACAGAAAATTCACAGTTTTTCACCTTATATTCTCATATTTGACAATTCTGTACTTATAAGTTAGGGGGTTACTGCATCCAGTGATAGCAATGATTTTCTTAAAACAAATTTAGAATGAAAGATGTTAGTTAAAACAGTCAAAGTATGGACCTTGTAAAGTACACCTTCCAAGGTGCGATCGATTACGTTAACCAGCACGATTGTTTTGGAGTGTAAAAGTTATGTTGTATAAAAATAAGGAGATGAGGTATGATTGCCAATGAAACAACTATCCACCAGGACTTTCATAGGACTTTTTTATAAACAAAATAACGCTAGCACAACAGAGACAAATACTACGAAATAACTGAATATTGTTTAGATATAAATAGGAATATGTTGTATGAGTATCAATGAGACAACTATCCATTTAAGTCACAATGTGTAAAAAGTAAAGAATTATAGGTCAAAGTACGGCCTTCAACACGGAGCCTTGGCTCACATCGAACAGCAAGCTATAAAGGGCCCCAAAAAGACAAGCGTAAAACAATTCAAACAAGAAAACCAACTGTCTAATCAATATAAAAAGCGAGAAACACTTATGAACCACACCAACAAACGACAACCACTGAACGTCCAGGACAGACAGGACAGACGCATAAAAATGCAGCGGGTTTAAACGATTTTAACAGGCGCCAACCTTCACCCTAACCTGAAACAGTGGTATAACATTACAACATAAATAGACACACAATAAAAAATCAATTGAAATGGCTAAACTCGATCAAAAAGACAATACACAAAAACAGGTAAATATAGAGCTTATATTTTATTCAAGTCCAATTGAACACAGTTTTTGAAATCTTCTTCATCATTTATGCTTTGGTACCTTAATCAATTGCATACAGTCTATACCCGCTATCGATCAAACTTCAGGTACAGTTTCTCTTTATTTTTTATGGTTGTCAAGATAATAGCCAAACTTGCTATTTTAGAATATCAATCAATAAAGTATTCTGCCAGTTATGGTCAAATGGTAGATCTTGACCTTCTGCACTGCTCTGTCTCTGTCATACTTTTTCTATCCTTAACGGTTTTGGAGATATTGGACAAAACATGTGTCTCTTAAATTGTCTATTTCTTTCACAACACCAAATACTCTGTTATACCAACTGTCAAAAGAGTGTTACCCACAATTTAGAATAAAGATAATAACAAGTTTTTAATCTAACGAAAGCATGACAAAGGAGAAACCCATTTCTTATTTCCATTTCGCCTCTCCGTTATATATTCTATTTTAATCAGATTTGGGATATAGTGGCATTGAATAATCCTCATAAAAGATGTTTGCAAGTAACGCTTTTTAATTTTCACGCTTTTTTAATACTTATTTAAATTAGTCAAACGTGTTGACCTTCCATGGACTAGGGACCTTTACGCTCCTTTCTGGTCGTATAGATCTTGAATTGCCCAGATACTTATACATCCATCGGTTCAAATTTTTATGGTTTCAGCGGTCCTGGTGGAGTTTAACACAGAAAGCGCTTTGGACGAACCAAATTAAAAACAGTGTTATTTTCCTTGAAATACATATTTGATATTTTGAAGTTTCCCCATACTGCCATGGTATCGCATGAACCCCAAAATGAGGGAGATCGGACGCGTCGACACGTTAAGCGTGTGCAACTAAGCATGGATCACCTGCCATGCAAATCGACAGTCATTCAAAATGACCAATCGTGAATATGACACATTCTGTAAAATTACAGATAGAACGACAAATCTGCTAATTAAAGATCTTAGGCCGCGACAACATGTCGCTAGTGAGTTCAAACACAGACACGTCGTATCGTATTTGTAATTGTGAGTGTGAAACATATGTAGTAATCACGTATTTATTGAGATATGTAAACGTCATACAATTCATCAAGATAGTATGTTACTGTTGAGAAATGGGAGGTTAACAATTGGAAAGTTTAAATCATCATGTTTGTCATAGATTCTAGTTTGAAGTCGTCTATCTGTGTCAATATCGACGAAAAGATCAACATATGAGCAGACCTCTTTGTTTCGGTAGTATCCTTAATATCAGGTCCACCGGGTTATATGAGATGTTATCACTCATAGAAATATGGATTATATAGTGATAGGCCATAATCAATATAATATGAAAATTTACAAGACTTGAAGATTCGTTTTGAAGGTTTTGTTTGAAATGTTCTTCATATGAGTGCAAAACAAAAAGTCGGACGGTAGGGGTGCACAATAAGAACCATTTAAATACCGATAATATGTTAAATATCTATCAACCAAACTCAACACATGTAATGTGAATGACAAATTCATGCGTTTTGTTAATATCATCTTTGGTGTATATGTTGTTGGAATCACTGTCGTTTATGACCTTAAGGAATTGGTATCTACGATTTGATTTTTTGTCGAAAAAAGCTGTTTAGTCAAATTACGAAGTCTTTCTTTCACTTAAGCATTGCGAATGGAAGTGTAAAGTGTAGAACATTTTTTAAAATGCTATTACTGTAAAATTGTAAAAATTGAGATTGAAGATTTTGGAGAAAATTTGTAGAATTTTTCAGATTCCACAAGTCATGTGATTTTCGCCACTGGTTGAATACAACTCATTACACTATTCTGAAGGCCATCTTTTAATGTAGAAAGAATAGTGGTACGAACTTTAAGAGATTGTCATCGTCATCTTTTACGTTAGTACTGACGAACAACGAAGTGAATTTGAAATTTCTAACCTTCCACTTTTGTTAATTATGCAGGGATATATGTGGGATTCCTAGTTAAGCTTTGAGTTTCAAGTTCTTTAGTAAGACATTTCAAATATTGATGTGTGTATACAGAACAAAATGTGTGGAGACTTTGTCGGCTGGAACAACACCATATTTGTCATGAAGAGAGGATAAGCATCCACAACTACGGCTTTAGGGAACATGTTAGAAATGCGTGTTCTATTTGTATATCGTTTATTTTGAATGCGCTTCTGAATACCTGACCGAACAGCTTTGATTTATTCAAATAAAGTACCCAGTTTGGTACATCTTTTCCCATTTTTTATGCATAGTCCACAACTGCTTCTATCAGTGGCCACCTTAAGTTTTTATTCCAGTTGGTGTTCTCTGGAATGTTTGACTAAAAATCCTCTAAGATGTTCATTGTTCACGATTTAATTGTTTCCAGTCATAAAATGACTAACTAGAAATATTTGTATTGAAACGATGAACAAGAGCTATCGGGAAAATTAGAGTTTAGACTTTTCAGGGTAAAACTTCCTGTGATTGAAAATCTTAGATACAATAGGTGTGTTTTATGTATATGAAATGACAAATGTAGTTTGAGGTAATAAGGCATCGTGTTCTGCACATATTATGTTGGATAATATTTATACTATTTATAGAAGCAGGGACATGACACTCTCCTAACTCCAGCTTACCGACTGACGTCCACACTCTGAACGGAAGTCTGTTGACGGGTTACTTTATCCATTAAAGCCTTTACTTTTATATGTAATGATAAATGATACAACTGTTTTTGGATTGGTTCAGTATTGTCTACCCTTCTGATGTCTTTTACACATTATTATTTACTTCAAATGTTTAAATTAGATAGGCTACAATTGTAATGATTTTGTTCAATTTGTTTAATTTATGTTTTCATATTCAAAGTGTGTAATAGAATATCATATGGCTGTCAGCATTGCCAGTGGTTAAAGTGTAATCTGTTAATATGCATGCTTTATTAACGTAATCTAAATCCTCGGGTTCGAGGAGAAGAGTGGATTTGTGGCAGATTTGTTCCCCCACTTTTGCTTTTGTTTATTCAATTGATATGATTGCAGTTGATGTAATTTTGTAATAATCCTGAATTATAACTTCATATTAATAAAGATGTCAAATGTTTTACTTGCAAACTGTATTTGTACATTTTTTTTAAAATTTCGAATATATGCCCCATTTCGCCGATCTTGTGATTAAATAGCATAACAATCTTAGACTGTGGCCGGTTGTATATATAAGTATTTTATTATGTCTATCTGTCTGTCTTAAGCAACTCAACAAACATGGTACACATTGAATTTACCGAATGCTGTAGAAAGTTTGTTGATCGTTCGTTTTTACAATGGACTTCACAAATCTCGATATACATGAATCATTTCCAACTGTTGAATGGTACATGCACTGTACGAGGACCCACTCATTTCAAATATATCTAATTGATTGAAACGACTCATAAATATATAAACTCTTAAAAAGAATAAGCCCGTATCTACCAACAACATGTTTTTGTTAAGTGCTGTATCAAATCAATGTGGTATATATAATTTGAAATAAAATCCCACGAATTTTATTTCAAAGTATACAAGGTGCAACTGATGACCAACAATTAGTCATTTATTTTGTAAATACGATTTAATGCACAATCCTTTCCGTTACTGGACTTTACAATACTATTACAATCAATACATGCTTGGATGTGTATAATTATAAATGATTAACAAAAACATTTATTTTTTTGAATAACATGAAATCCGATGTAGCTCATGCTTTATTAATAAGAACAGTTGTAAAACAGAAAAATTAATTTGAGTTAACAGTATTATTTTATTGTTTTATTATTCTAAATACGTATAATATTCCCCATTTAGAAAGAACATATGATTAGTCAACTGCAAAATGATATTGCATGGCGTAGAATATAAATTTATATAAATTCGAGGATTCTCACAGCGATGATAGTTGCAAACGGAAACAGCAAAATAACATCGGAAATGAGGTCGAATATGAAAGCTGTTTTAGTGCTTCTGATTTGTTCCTTTATCATCCAAGGTAAATATATTTTTAGGGTCGCTTTCTTAGTATTTTTTAATTAGAAATATAGTTTATTTATTACTTTGTTTATATAATTATGAAAACGTTTTATTATTCTAAAAAAGTTTTTTTTTATATTTTATAATCTTTTTTTTAATATAGAAATGAAATTGTTGAATTGCTTTTTTGTTTTGTTTTTGTGTTTGGGTTACTGTAAATAGGCGGGACGTAGTTATTTAAATACAACAAATTATCTGGAGAACAAAGTGTTTTTGAAATCCGTTTGCAAGATAGCAAGAAGGCATCCTTCCCTTTTTGTACATTGAAGCACTTTATTAATTTTAAAAGAGTTGGAGCAATGGACATGATGGATGATCAAGACGACATAAGCGTGTTTATTCAAGATGGTCGATGGGGAAAACCATGACATAGTACAAGGAATTAAACGATTTTAAGTACCTTGAATATCAAAAGAAATTTTCCGGATATTGCTGTACCTCGTACCTAATGCCCCCTTTCATAGGTTTTTAAGATTTGATAGAATTATTGACGTTCACTTTAAAAGTCGTGTAATACGATATCGAAGAAATGAAATTATTGGCAGGTTGTAAAAAGGCGAAGTTATCAAAGGAGCAATACAAAACTGAATTCGAGGAGAGATAATGAAAACCCTTTCTAAAGCTGTGCATTGGGAAATTTCAAATGCAATAATATCAAAACACATAACTTTTCTTACATATACTATGAAGAGACATCATTACTAATTTCGTTAGTTTATTGTTTTATTACATTTAAGGGGAAGGAAATGGGTATTTTGTGATAACTCAAGAAAATTACAAACAACCAACAGATGTTCATGACCTTATTATACGGATTTTCGTCATAACATTTAAAACATAGATTGCTTACTTGATAGTCTATATTCTGCTATGGTGTTATTATCTTGCTGTTTCTGTATTGGACCTGCCAAAAATATGATGTTAGTTGTAATTTCCCCAACAGTTAGAGAAGCGATGGCTAATACAGCTGATCGCGAATCTATTACATGAACAATACACAAGCTGCCAGTTCATATGTAAAACTTCTATAAATAACTCTATATCTTCGATAAAACTAACAAACACACCGTGAAGCAGGTAGAGGAATTCATATTTTGAATCCATTTTTCTTTTTGCAGTCACGATGCAGTTTGTCAATATTGTTGAAATTTCTGATTTCACGTACAAGTATTTAATCTATGCTACTTCCATACATTTAATCTACCAAATGTAAAGTAGCTTGGGAGAATAAATCAGACATTTAAACCAGTCTTACTCTTTAATCGTTTTCGTTCTGATGACTGATCAGGGAAGTGAAACAGTAATCATAATCGACAGTTTCTTGCGGAAAGGCTGTGTATTAATGTTTTCGTTTCAGATCGTTACGGAGGTTGTGAGTACGAATCCCGCACGTGACAGGTGCGCTTAACTCCAATCTTAATTGACTAATACTCCTACCGAAGGTCGGTGGTTCTCTCCGGGCCCTCCAGTTATCTCAACTAATAAAAACTGACCGTCACGAAAAAGCACAATGTTGCTGAAAGTGGCGTTAAACACCAATTAACTAATCAATCAAATAGGTACGAAACACGGAACATTATTTAAACTGTAATTAATATTATTCTAAGTTAATAAATATGATAAAACTATCTAATGTATGATGATACGTTCAACGATAGGCGAGGATTAAAAAAATGAAGGTCTCGTACTGGACGGATTTTTCTTTTATTGACCCGGACCGAAAAGCTGTATTAATATGAACAGGACGACGTCATCAATATTACACATGGTGATGTATCCGTCTTACGGCTGATTTAATCATATCATTTAATAATATCGTTTATTGTTCACTGAAAGCGCTAAACTACCTTTTTAATAAAAACGAAAAAGGTCCATATTTATACTTGTTTTATTAACTACATTTAGATACTTGTATAGGGTAATCATCGGGAAAGAGGGGGAAGCATTGCATTCAGAAGTTCGATATTTATTAAATTCCGAAATTTCAAAATTTGACAGTAGAGTGGAAAATCGTAGGAATTTTTCATAAAATTTCCATATGTTTAACATTGAAACAACGAAGGGATACACAATTATTAGTCATGATATTGGGAAGCGGATAAGGATAGTTATCTTATGGGCAATCATGCCTCGTCGCCTTTATATATCAAAACAAAAATGAGGAAACATTTCTCAACATCAATCAAATGCACGGTGAAAGGACACTTTTAAGCCAAACTTACCTAAAAAAATATTCTCGAATTTGCAGAATAAATATCGAATCTATGAACTTTATCAAACTCTATTTTTGGTATATTTCCTTATAAAAAGTAATACACTCATAAAATGAAGTTGATATCGTCAAGAATGCAAAACCGTGATATCGATTCAATGCTGAGAAATACGATAGCGCAAGCCAATCGCAGAAAGATATTTATACAAAGTTTTATTGGTGATCATGTACCTGCAAAAAAGTTTATTTCAGCAAACATCAGTACTCTCAGATCTGTACTTAGTGTCCTTTTTGTTGTTAGGGATTTGGGATGGATAAATACCCTGCCACGTCCGGTCTATGTTTGATATTTTTTTGCTTTGTATCGATCTGATGAGTTAAACTTTTTTCAAATGATTTTTATAGTTTGTTCTTATGTTGTGCTGTTACACCACTGTCCAGGGTTAGAGGAGGGTTGAGCGCTCACAAACATGTTTCACCCGACCACATTCTTTATGTGCCTGTCCCAAGTCAGGAGCCTGTTGTTCAGTGGTTGTCATTGGTTCATGTCAGTCATATTTTTTTTTCGTAAATTGTTTTGTTATAAATTAGACCGGTAGTTTTCTCAATTGAATTGTTTCATATTTTTTATGTTGGGGCCTTTTACCAACTACGACAATTACGAAAAGTCATCCAGAGTAAAAAAAATCCTTTTACTATAGACAATTGTCTATATAGTAAGTCACGCTCGAAATCGTACCAAATGTAAATTCGTTTTAATTAAAAGACATTAACAATAAAAAAAAATTCCATTAAAACTCAAATTCTCGAAAATAACGATTAATATATGACATTCAACAACTATACTGACGAGTTTTCCGACCCTTGAAAACATTTAGCGCGGTAAAACTATTATCTTAAATCCGTCCTTTTTTAAACTCGATCATTAGATTAACAAAACAAACATTTACAATACAATCCAATTCAGTACTGGAAGGCACTTATGTATAAATATACGGCATTATGAGTAACGAAAAGGATAACAAATTATGTTAACACAACATGATTATTAGGTGTTTATAAAATTGATCAAGCATGTTATCATGCAATTCTACTTGTTCCCTACAGGAACTCGGTGCTAGAAACTCTAAAAAATTACCTTTTATAGTATGGCTAAAGGTACGGATCGATTCAAATTTTCAAACGGAAGGTTTAACTTACATTGCACATACAAAACACGATCTAATCATGCCTAATGCATGATAAAATAAAAAAGAACAAATGTCTATTTCAGAAAATCATAACAAGTAAAAATATTTTCTGTTTTCACAGGTATGTCTATGTCATGGCAGAAAAGAATACGAGTAATGAAAGTGTGTAGCAATTTAGAAATAGCTGGTACTTTTCCAAAATCAACATGTTTCGAAATGGAAAAATTGCAAAGCTTTATATGTGGACAATGTAACGATAACGGTTGTAACAACCGGTACATGTGTTATCTTTGACTATTACATTCATGGACTTTTGTTTGCTTCACATTATTTTAATGAAAGAACAACGACTTTGATGATGTTTGAAAGACATGTACTCTATACATATTTCTGGAGTAAATATAATTTAAGGGATCAACTACCTTTACTTCAACATGACATTACATGATTGTATTTATTGATAACTAATGCATTTTTCTGAATCTGAATAAATCGATTAAATTCCATACATTCGATAGTTTTCATTGTTTGTTCTATCCTTATAAAAGAACACGTAGAGGGGCGGAAGAAACTATTTCGGGAATGCGAGATTTATTCATATCGGGACTCGGAAATAAATGCTTATTTTTGGGTGAATTCGGGATGACACCCCTCCTACCGCCCATCAACATAATTCGTATGAGCTAAAAACCTCAATGTCATTCGCACGGTTTGTCTTTTTTAAAACTTTATAAATAAACTTCAGCAAATAATTTCCACCCACAGAATGTAGAATACTTATGTAAAGGGTAAAGATTCTAATAGTGTTATACTATTGCATAACGAAAGGGTCTATGTTTTCAATCGACAGCAAATCTAACATGTATCTAAAATTAAACACTGTTTGATACGCCTTATTGGCGGAAAATTAGTGGGATTTAGTACAGATGTTTGCATGCGCCCTATTCTCCTTACTTTTCGTTGGATCCGTACGTTAATTCGTATTTTTTTAATGTAAATGAACTACTGACGAAACTCAGAAATAATTTGTTATATTACAGGTCCAAAAATGTATGAGATAACTTATGTTGGTAAAGACGTTCCTTAACAAAATGTATGAGATAAATAATGTTGGTAAAGATGTTCCTTAACAAGATGTATGAGATAACTAATGTTGGTAAAGACGTTCCTTAACAAAATGTATGAGATAACTAATGTTGGTAAAGATGTTCCTTAACAAAATGTATGAGATAACTAATGTTGATAAAGATGTTCTTTAACAAAATGTAACAGTAACATCGGCTGTTATGTACTTTCTTTAAAATCTTCAATTAGCAAGACATGATAGCAATGGTTCTAAACAGATCACGTGATGGTTAAGCCACACAGTATAACCAAGTTTACATCGAAATTTTTTTTATAGAAAACTACTATAAAAATGTTATTGGTTGGTCTTGTGTGGACGAGACGCACGTCTGGCGTATTGAATTTTAAGCCTAGTACCTTTTGTTAGCTATTATTCGTGTGATTCTTTGTCCTATATGTCCTCCCATTTATTTGTATTGTGGTCCTGTCATGTGATGTTGTCGTTTTGGTGTTGTGTTTGACGTTGCCATAAAAGCGGGAGGTTTGGCATGCCACAAAACCAGGTTCAACCCACCATTCTTTTCTTAAAATTTCCTGTACCAAGTCAGGAAAATGTCCATTGTTATATTATAGTTCGTTTCTGTGTGTGTTACATTTTAATATTTTGTTTTTGTTGTGTCGTTGTTCTCTTATTTGATGCATTTCCCTCAGTTTTAGTTTGTAACCCGGATTTGTTTTTATCGCTATCGATTTATGAGTTTTCAAACAGCGGTATACTACTGTTGCCTTTATTGACTAGTTAGTGAAATCGAGGTATGATACATTGTTTATACACTGTAAAGGAGAGGCGAACGATACCTTAGGGACATTCAAATTCATAACTCGAAAATAAACTGACAATTCTATGGCATAAAACAAAGAAAGACCAAATGACAAACAACAATATACAAAACTAAAACATGAGAAACAAAAACCCCACTTAAAACGGGGATAGTCTCAAATGCTCCGGGAAAGGGTGCTCCGGAAATTTGGTTAAGAGATTATGCTCTTATACTGTCATGTAGCCCATGTAAGGACAAAACCGGTGGTAAGTCTAATTTGGTAGGTATAATTCGAGAGAAAAAAGGACGGGTTGTGGTTTGAATACCTGGAACAAATCCGTAGTCATCTGTGAACAGATATTCTATAACAATCAACCAACTCGTAATGACGTTTGTTAGATATTTGAAGGGGTAATTTCCCTCTACCAAGAAAAGTATGATAAAAAATGTCAGCTATGGGATATTGTATCAACAAGGAGATATATATTACATATGCAGGCGCTGCTGAAAAGTTGCAAAATAGAAGTGGAATGTTCATAATAAGCTGAAAGCATCTGTTTTATCGTAAAGTGTTTTCATTTACCGACCCTCGTTGTTTCTAGATATAAGTCGAGATTTGAAGCACACTTAACTTTACCTGTTATATCTGTTATTTCAAGTTTGATGTGATAGATGCATTTATCATAGTAAACTTTGAATTATTTAGTGATAGGGCATCAACTATTAAGGGGTAATTCTAGCTTCTTTCCATTCTTCATAAGAAGCTCTTATATGAAGCCAACCTCATATGAGTACAGGAACAGGTTTTGAGTTTCCAACTGAATTGTCATTACATTTTGTACCTTATTCATTTATCAAGCATTTTTGTACAGTAATTTACACACAAAAAAGATATTGTTTTGGGCTATGTCTGCGGAGCTGTAATAATGATAGTGATGAACATTATCTGCAATTACTTTTGTTTAAATGATATATACTCATAACATGTACGTATTTATTTTACACGACCTTGATGACTATCGCTAATAAATGAAGTATGATGTAACGAGCACTCATATATTAAAACAATAATATTTCATTTTGACATTGAAGTCGCACCACATTTACTATACATGTATGTATGGCTTTCTAGACTAATACCACTAAATTAAATAACTCTATTGGAATGATCTGCTGCAGTGAAATTTAAATATATTCGGTTTCATTGAATTATTTATAAAACCGCAAATTTCTCCGAAACAATACAATCAATTCAATAATCATTATTTCTGATTGTCGAGTATCATGAGTTTTTGTATTTAATTACATAACAGAAAACATAGACATTTAATTGCCATAATTGTTTAGTATTGTTTATAAAAAGTACAGACAATTTCAAGGCAAACCCATCAAGGAATAAAGAAACTGTATTAGTTTATATGACACAGGATGGTACTTCGGAAGCGGAAAATAACGTTTCAAAATCTACCATTTATCGATCAAAGTTGGTTAACTTTTAGCTGAAGTTCTTAACTAAAGGCGAATTATTCCGTCGACATATCTTTCAACAGGGAAAAAAGAGGCAAAAGATACCAATTCGAAAGAAACATTCTAACTCTTAAATTGAACATTAACTGTTAACGCCATGGCAAAAAAGTGCACATGAACTCTAGGATAAAAAGAAATTACAAAACGTCATAGTAAAAATTGCACATTTCTAGCTGTAAAAGGATTTCCTATGGGAAATTTCATTGTCTATTAAAATCACAGAAGTGTAACCTTAAAGTGGTTTCCTGCAGTTGGGTTTTAGTGCGTTTTAGTAATCGGTCTGCCATGAAGTATGAAAACTTCGTACACAGGTGACTTTGCATTTGTAACTCTGTCTCGCAAATCACATAAATGACGTTTCCTAATTGACGTGAAATTTTCTGATAATATCAAGCTGACTTACACCAGCCTGCAACATCCATATAACTTGATCGAGATTATCAATACTCGCTCTCCGCAATATAAAAATTCCACACACAAAAAAGATATTGTTTTGGGCTATGTCTGCGGAGCTGTAATAATGATAGTGATGAACATTATCTGCAATTACTTTTGTTTAAATGATATATACTCATAACATGTACGTATTTATTTTGCACGACCTTGATTACTATCGCTAATAAATGAAGTATGATGTAACGAGCACTCATATATTAAAACAATAATATTTCATTTTGACATTGAAGTAGCACCACATTTACTATACATGTATGTATGGCTTTCTAGACTAATACCACTAAATCAAATAACTCTATTGGAATGATCTGCTGCAGTGAAATTTAAATATATTCGGTTTCATTGAATTATTTATAAAACCGCAAATTTCTCCGAAACAATACAATCAATTCAATAATCATTATTTCTGATTGTCGAGTATCAAGAGTTTTTGTATTTAATTACATAACAGAAAACATAGACATTTAATTGCCATAATTGTTTAGTATTGTTTATAAAAAGTACAGACAATTTCAAGGCAAACCCATCAAGGAATAAAGAAACTGTATAAGTTTATATGACACAGGATGGTACTTCGGAAGCGGAAAATAACGTTTCAAAATCTACCATTTATCGATCAAAGTTGGTTAACTTTTAGCTGAAGTTCTTAACTAAAGGCGAATTATTCCGTCGACATATCTTTCAACAGGGAAAAAAGAGGCAAAAGATACCAATTCGAAAGAAACATTCTAACTCTTAAATTGAACATTAACTGTTAACGCCATGGCAAAAAAGTGCACATGAACTCTAGGATAAAAAGAAATTACAAAACGTCATAGTAAAAATTGCACATTTCTAGCTGTAAAAGGATTTCCTATGGGAAATTTCATTGTCTATTAAAATCACAGAAGTGTAACCTTAAAGTGGTTTCCTGCAGTTGGGTTTTAGTGCGTTTTAGTAATCGGTCTGCCATGACGTATGAAAACTTCGTACGCAGGTGACTTTGCATTTGTAACTCTGTCTCGCAAATGACATAAATGACGTTTCCTAATTGACGTGAAATTTTCTGATAATATCAAGCTGACTTACACCAGCCTGCAACATCCATATAACTTGATCGAGATTATCAATACTCGCTCTCCGCAATATGAAAATTCCACACACAAAAAAAACATAAACAAATCTTGATAACTATAAAGATTATTCATGGTATTTATAATATGTCCGATACAGGTTTAAGTTAGTATGACATGATATATATAATTTATAAAAGGAAACACAGAATTTATAAGTTATTAAGGAAAAATATGGTCCATTGAAAGCTTCAACAACCGTTCCTTCCGAGAGAAATATCATTATATAAACAACACCTAGCAACTATTAACACATGGTTCAGATAGCCCGATCCGGTACATGTACACAGTGTATTTGGGCAAAATCAGCTTCATTTGCGAATTTGTACGATGGAGAGTTGTCTCATTTTAAATCATACTACGTCTTTACTTTAGAAATAAGAGACGACGCATAATTTGAAAAGCAAGGTCTGTCAACGTATATTTTCTTCCGCCTTACATAAGCTCCCTTAGAATCTTTGTTATAAACAATGCCACAATATCTGTTCCTGTTGGAACAAATATTCTATTCCATTTATTCCGTAAGT